CTTATTAGCTTATACAGTAATATGTTTATCCTAAATATCTGCAGAGATTCCAAAAATCTCACACGATAAGGAAATTAAATTTATTTAATTGATTTAATTTAATTAATTATATAATATATATATATATATATATTTTAAAAATTTAATCGTTATATCTACAGAGTCTTATTGACTCATACGATAATACGATGATCTTAGAAGCCTACGGAGATTCAAAAATCTCACATGATTAAAAGATATAATCAGTAAATGTAGTTACAATTTAAAGACATTAATTTGGTTAATTAATTTTCCTAAATTTTGTATTATATGATTATTTACAAAAATCACTTATTTACTATAGAAATTGAGAATCACTATATCTATAAGGACTTATTATTCCACACGATAATGTGATTAATTTAAGTCTCTACGAAAATTCTTGAAATCTCACATGAGACTTAAATAAATTATTAATTTGGATTATAAAAAGAGTGTTAATTTTAATGGTGGGCCTTTAGAACCCATATTAACATATAAGTTTTGCTCTCATATCTGCGAAACCTTATTGATTTACACAATACGAGATTATCCTGAATATCTGTAGAGATTCAAAGTCTCACATGATAAAAAGATTAAATAATATTCACTTTAAATATATTTTAAATATAGAAATCTTAATCGTTATACCTGTGAAGCCTTATTGACTCACACGATAGTACGATTATTATAAAGGTCTATAGAGTTTCAAAAATCTCACATGACTAAAAGATCTAATAGAAAATGTGATTATAATTCAAATTTATTAATTAAAATCATCAAAACATTTATTATTTTATTTACAAAATTTGTTTATTTATTTATCATATAAATTGTGAATCACAATATCTGCGAGTATTTATTATTCTACACGATAATGTGATTAATTTAAGTTTTTACGAAAATTCTTGAAATCTCACATGAGACTTAAATATTTATTATAAAGAGAGAATTAATTTCAATAATGGGCCTTTGAAACCTATATAAATACATACAAGATTGATCCTCATAACTACAAAATCTTATTGATTTATACAGTATGAAATCATTCTAAATACCTATGGAGATTCTTAAAATCTTACATGACAAATAGATAATCAAAATATTTACATTTACAATTGGTGTATAATATTATGGTTGGCTAAACAATTTATGCAATAAAGGCAACGAAAAGAATAAATTAATTTGATGATTTACTATTCTTTCGACTTGAGGATATATTCTAAAAAAAAATCAGATTTGGTATAAACTTTTAGCAAGATCATAACCATGATAGATGCTCCAAACCACAATCAACCTCACAAATTATCGACAATATTTTCACAAGGCTCTCTCTATTTTTTTTTTTTTGGTCAGACACCTCTCTGGTATGTTCTAAAGTCTACATAGAAAAATATTTAATTTCTAATTTTTAATTTTTTTTTGCCTAAACATGCATCTGAATTAGTCTACACTCTTAATATCTATCAGTATATCTATATATATATATATATATAATATATATATATATATATATATCGTGTGTGTGTTTATCAATGAATCCAGATTAAAGTAGATGACATGATTTAAATATTACCTCAGCAGCCAATGATCCCAGATACACATTTTCCTTCCTCTCAAGACAACACTTTCATCACCTTGACTTTAAGTTTCGAACATGTTTTTGGTTCTAAAGGGAGGAGCAGAGGAAGAAGAGAACATCTTTGTTGCTTGTAAAACATCCCAAACTCGCGTGAGGAAGAAGGAAATGATGATCTCGTTTAGTCCGAAAACTCACGTGTGCATGCATGCTACTGTTCATGCATTCCCTTCTTCCTCATTCTCTCGGTTCTAGTCTCTGTTCAGTCTTCCTCCAACTTCTGCCCCATCTCCTCCTCGTTCATTCTCATCTCCCTCTTTTTCATGTGTGTGCTTTATTTTTCGTGCTCTCTTTCCTCAGTTTTTCTCTCCTTCTTTTAAGTTTTCTGGTCTATTCATACTCTGTTTTCTTTCTTCATTTTTTCGTCCAGTTGTGTTCTGCTCCTCCTCTCTCGGTCTTGTGCTCTCTCTTTCTCCCTCTCTCTCACTTGCATCTCTTAGGCTCTGTTTTGCTCTCTCAGTCTCTCTCTTCTCTTCCTTTTCTCGTCTGGCCGAAAGTCCTGTTATTAGCGTGTTTTTACTCTGTTTTTGTCTTCACCGTCTCTACTTCTCATTTTTAGCTCTCTCTCTTATGTTTTTGGCTCTTTTTTTTCAGTTTCGGATCAGTATCCTTCCTCGATGCTCTATCTTTCTCTCCGTCGCAGATCCATCTCTTATGCTCTATTTTTTTTTCTTTTCGTCCCCGCTATCTTCTCCTCTTTTATGCTTTGCTTTTTTGTTTTCGTGTGGCTGTGTGTTTTGCATTTTTTTGCATTTTTTTGTGCTCGTTTTCAACTGGCGTGTGGGCGTTGCATTTCTGCTCTGTTTCTTCTCACTTGTTCCCTGCTGTCACGTCTGCTTTCTCTACTATTCTATTTGCGTGAGTGTGTGTCTTTGCATGGCTACCTTTCTGTGTGTTTTTCGTGTGTGTTTTTGTTTTTTCAGTGCACACCTCTGCCTCTTCTGTTTCTGTTTTCTTTCTAGTCTTCTTGCCATTTGTTCCTTCGTCTCTGTCTCTCTGCGTTTTCGGCGTCTGTCTCTGTGGCATCTGAACTCTCCAGACTTGCTTGTGTACTCCTTTTGCTTTCTGCGTACTGTGCTTGATCGAGTATTTCTCTGCCCCTTAAGTTGTGATTTTCATCCAACCTACTTTTTTGCTTTTAATTAACAATTTTGATTAATACATACATATATATATATATATATATTAAAATAAAAATAAGATTTAAAGAGAGAAAAGTTAACTCTTAAAAGTAGACTCTCAATATTTTTGAATGATTGGGATAATTTAGGAGAAATTTTTTTTTAAGATTTAACCTTTCTATTTTTTTTAATTTGTTAAATTATTATATATTTTTTAAAATATAATCCTAAAAAAAGATTAAATTTCCTTTTTGTATTTTTATTTTTTTATTATTTTTAATGAACTAAAAGAAATAAGATCTTAAGCAACAAACGATTATCTAGGTTAAAATAAAATTAAACCCTATTAATTATTTTTTTAAAAAATATAATTTTAAAAAGAATTAAATTTTATTTTTATATTTTTTTATTTTTTTTGTTATTAAAAAATGTTCAAATAAAATACGATGTTTATAGGAATACTTGAAAACTCAAGAGCAATGTATTCTAAACACTCCACAAGCATGCCATATAAAGGCAATATATGCACATGAATGTTGGGCACCATTAAACACCTCCATTAAAACTTTTTGGAATTTCTAAGCACTAAAACATTAAATCTTCATCAATACACATTGTAAATTTTGAAAGGTTAGAACTTTGAACAAATCATCATTAATATTGCTTACAAAATTCTAAAGGCTAATACATTAAATAATTAACCACCATTATGCATTGCAAAATTCAAAAGATTTGAACATTAAATTTGATCATTTAAAATATTTTCTGAATTTTGCAAAATATTTGGATAAAAGAGCCCAACAACACATTTCACTCACATAATGTATGAAAGAGCACATTCACTCCTCTTCTTGACTCATCCCACTTACCCAAATTCTCATCTTTGTATTTATACACTAAGGCTTCTTCAATTGTGGGAAATGTGTAGTTTCTTTTGACACACATATAGATAATATTACAGCATTATATTTATTGTATATATACTTTCTCATATATACTTTTTAACAAAATTAAAATATAAAAAATGGCTATGATTTTCAAGTTTTGATCCAAAAAAAGAGAAAATCACAATCAAAGACTCCTAGAGACAATTAAAGGTCCATTTGGATTTCAATTGGGTCTTATAGATTATAAAAATAATTGATTAAGTGGTAAATTTTAATCATAATTGATTATGTCATAACGTAATTTGTTTGGATATTATTTTTTTAAAATTGATTTTAACTTAATATATGTTAATAACTTTTTTAAAGATTTAAAATTTAAATTTTACTAAGAAAATAAAAAGAGAAGAGAAGGGAATTTGATTTTTTTTTTTTTACAAAATTTTGTTCTTTTTTATAATTCTTTTGGACCTTTTTATGTAATTTCTCCAATACTTTTTTATCAGCATCCAGAAAAGCTCAAAATATTGGCTTTTGAAAAAAACTTAATTTTAAGGGTTGAAATCAATTTTTTACTTTTTCAGGAGTCTGGCTAATAAACCAAATAATTAATTTTTTTAAAAAATAAAATTAATTAAAGATGTATCCAAACGGGCACTAAATAAGCTACAAAACTATAAGATTCTAACATTACTCTGCAAAATCAAGACTTTAATTAAAATTTGTTATTAAAAAAAAAACTTTATTATGACACACTACAAAGAAAGGGCCATTTAGAGACAGCCACAATCCGTCTCTAAAATCTAAAAAATCCATCTCTGTCAAGTTCGAGACGACTTTTGACACGAATGCATGGTCATCTCAAAAAGTGGCATCGTTAAATAGTTTGCGATGAATTTTTGTAACCCGTCTCCAGTAGAGATGTTTTATTGTCGTCTCTAATGTGGATAAAAGCATCGCTAATGTTGAATTAAATCCGTCGTGATTATCAATTAGAGACAAAAATGGGTCGTCCCAAACGTTGCTATATAATACAAATTTGGAGGCGAGAAAAATTCATATCTAAATCCATCTCTAAATTTTGAAAAAAAAAAAAATTAGCATTATCACATGCCATTCTATCATGTGAGAATAATGAAAAACAATAAAAAAAAAATTATTAGCATAAAGACCACTTAAAGCTTATACTACATTTTTCTCATTGTTACGTTACAATGAAAAACATAACTATGTGAATTCTTATCTAATAGAAAAAAATTATAGCAAACCATTCCGGTGCCTCTTGACCATAGCTCACCTAAATAGCAAAGAAAAAAAACAATTAAAACACTCAATATGTCAACCAAAAGTTTTACTTATAAGAAATGATTTATAACGATAGAGTGAATATGAACCATTACTAAGAGCATAAAGGCCACCCGGGAAATTACATTCAGACAGACGAACAAACAAAAGGGAAAAACCTAAAAATTATTTTAAAAATAACAAAACAAAAAATTGAAGGATGTGCTTGCAGCCCTGTTGATCGAGCAATCTCTTTGCTTCAACCATCACATGAATAAATTAACGTTCATCTGGGAAACAATCATAAGATTTCTTTTATTTTCTTCCCTACTTCAAATTTAGAGAAAAGAAATTAGAAAGAAAGAATACCTGTTGGGTAAGATAAGGTTTTTTCCCATTTATTTCGTTTTCTCCGTCTCTGAATATTATGGATCTGCAAATGCAAGATCAAAGATACAAAAAAAGCAATACGAATTTCAGATCTAAAGCAAAACGAATTCAGACGTCAACCAAAGGAATTTTAGATCTCGAAGGAGAAGAAGAGCCATCAGATTATGAACTCACCATAAGTTGGTCAGCGTCTCTTCATCAAGGAAGGAGGCGGCGGCGACAATGTTGATAGATGAGGAAATAGAGAAAAACAAAGATGGGAGATGATGTGGAGGCTATGAAGATGACAATAGATGAGGGGAGATGGGAGAGACGATTATGGCATTAGATGCTGAGAGAGACGAAGGGAGGATGCGGAGGAAGAGTAGAGAAGTGGCGGAAAAAGAGATTGACACACGGGATGGGAAGCGATTGGGAGATTAGGTTAAAGCAAGTATTTTGTTCGAGGCAAAATCTTAGCCATCAAATTCAAGGGATCAACGGTTGAAAATCAAAAAGCACATCAAGCCGTGTGCCATCATTAATTAGATATTTTTAAGAAATAGTGGGGGGGGGTTTTTTTGGGTGAAAAAAGCTCCCACGAGTTGATTTTTATATTAGACAAGTCAAGATGTATTAAAATTTATATAAATTATATATAATATAAATATATAAAATTTATATTTTATATCAAAATAATATTTTAAATAAAAATATAGTATGATTTATAATTTAGCATATATAATATAACATTTTTAACATTTAATTGCATATGATTTGACATTTAAATATAGTGCTAATCTTATATTAATCCTTTGTAATCAAGATCGGAAATATGTTGAAGATCAACAATAAACTTTTCATTTTATAATCAAATTTTAACAAAAGAACCAAGATAAATAATGTATCCTGTCAGTCACAATTAGGGAACTAAGACCGTGATTGGCATGATGTTAAAAAAATTATATTTTTTAAAATTCAATAATATTTAATTTTTAAATCATATTTTTATTAAGATATGTAATAGGGCATTATTTTTTAAATAAAATAAGTATTAAGATAATAACTTTTAGAGTTAACTTAATTTTTTATTTTTAATATGTACTTCCTCTAGATAATAATATAAGTCATCATTAACTAATATTTGTTTTTCAAAAAAGCTAGTTAAAATCTTAATTTTTAAAAAATTTTCACATATTTGCAATCATATTCTTAAATAAAATAAATATAATATTTAACTTATTTAAAACACTTAAATAAACTTTGATATAATAGAGCAAGAGTATAATTCAAAAATATATACACTTCCTCCATTCAAAAAATAAGGCATTTTTTTCATTTGGTAAAACTTATAAAATGAAATATTTGATATTAATGGGGTAACATTTTATAAAATAGAACAAGTTATTATTTAGTACAGGCCCTTGAAAAGTATTTGCAAATAACATAGTAATGATGTATCACGCCCAAGACATAGAATTTCTTCGCCTAACAATGAAGTTTATACTTCTTCCCAAAAACACAAGTCAAAAAATTTGATGGATCCAAATTTACAAATAAAAAATACAATATGTCTCTAACTTTGTCTCTAATTAGAATTAGAGACCAAATTGACAATGAAAATTTGTTGTACTCTAATATATTTATTTTGAATGTCTCTAATTTCATCACTAACACTAAAATAACAATATACAAATTTTAAAAAAAGTCAGGGTTGGGGTTAGATATGGTTATCTTTCGTATCTAACAATTAAATTTGTCACCAATTGTCACACCCAAAAAATGCAACGCGGATAACGCAAGAGCAAAAGTTTTGGTTTTCGGAAAAAAGACCGAAAAAATGGGAGTTGCCACCAAAATTTTGAGAAACTATTTAATGGTAGATAAGGATGGTTTGCGAAAACAGAAAAATAGGTTTGAGAGTCGGTTGAGTGTGGAGAAGGTGTTAGGCATCCCACAACACCCGTTTGCCAGAGTGGTTACCTGAAGTTTGTTGTGCTCTATTAATATAGTTTTATAATTATTTTAATTTTCCTTTTATATTCATGTGTTTAAAAAATAATAAGAATTAAGTGAGAAATATTTATTTATTTATGAGGGAGAACTTGACTCAGAATCCGACTCTGAAGCCTATGTATCCTATGATGGGGATCAAAGTTCACATAATTTGGGTTTAGAATATTGTCTATGGTTTTCTTTATTTAAAATTTTCATAAAAGAAAAATAACAATAACTTATTAATCGCAAACAAAACAATTTTTGTAAACTGCGTGTTGGTATGATTTAATTTACAAAGATAATTTTTTTATTCCCATTTATATGTTTGAAACTATTTTCTTTGTTATACTTTTTCTTTATTTTTGAAAATTCACTTTGTCAATACAGAAAATTATTATTGTTAAATATATTTCTTTTTAAAAAAATTTATAATATGTCTACGAAGATTTATTGTCACTCGTGGATATTTAAAGAATTCAAATGATCTTATTGCCTTTTAAAATTCCATATTGTCTTCACCATATGAAACCTTAAATTATTTATAAAATATTTTGTTTTAATATATGTTCTTTTATATATTGAAAATTTATTTGATATGCCAATGGGAGCTTTTATCACTTACAGAATATGGTAAAAACTCATAATCATCATAACAACAGAGTCTTATCAACCCATGACAAAATGATTATCTTAGCAATTTATAGAGATTTGGAAATCTCATATGGCCGAAAGATTTGGAGGTCATTACATAAATATATTAATTTGATTAATTTATTTTATAGAAAACGTTTATTATTTTATTTTATTTACAAAAATTTATATATAAATTGATAATCACATTATCTGTGAGAATTTATTATGATAATGCAATTATTTTAAAACTCTCTAAAAGTTCCTTGAACTTTCACACAAAAACAAACTTAGATATTTTATCCATTTAATTTAAAAAATAATAATAAATTAGTAAAATTAATTATTATGGAGGATCCTTGGAATCCATATCATTATATATACAAGTTAGATTTATCCACCTGCAAAACCTTATTAATTTACGTGGTAGATGATCATTTTAAATGCCTATGCGGATTTCTTAAAAAATTTCACATGGCCTATAAAAAAAATAGGATTAATATTATGATCCAACCATACTCAGAACAATCACCATGAAATTACCAGATTCTCATGATCAATCAACAAATTCTCATGACTAATAAACAAGCACGATCTAATCATTAAAGGGTATAAAAAAATAAAGAAAAGAGAAACAATATGATTCAAACTCATAACCACACTCTCATATATTCATCTAACCCATGCAGATGCAAATAATTTCAAACAATTGTCCAACACCTATATATATTAAGGTAAGCCCAGATCATTCATACAACACATACATGTATTTAAGCTAAACCTAGATCATTCATTCAACACATGCTAATCTAGACTCCCCTGCAAACAGATCGAAGGAGGAAAACAACGTAGAACAATAGAAATCCAATCACATTCTCAACTCCAGACTCCCAACACCGAATCACATTCAGAAAGGATAAGAGGTAGATAATCAACCAGGCAATATAAACTAATTGATCAAAGTTAGATTAATTCAAATTCATGAACTTTGAACCTATTATAGCAGCTGTGAAATTTCCAAGCTCTTCTCGCCTTTAGAAACTCAGACCATTTCCAAATTCAGTTGTGAATTCCCTTGGTCCCTCTCGGTTCCATTCTCTAGAAAAATGTACAAAAATTCAGTTTCACCTAATTTCCTCTTCATTAAAGTTCATCCAGCCTCCCCCCAGAAATCCTCTCAACACTTTTGGTTTAAACTCTCGGTCTCTCTCTATTTTTTTTAGAAATTTGGCTAGCCTCCCTCCTAGAATCCTCAATGTCAAACTTGATATAAAGGATAAACAATCACTTACCGTTACACGTTTCCCTCTTAAATGATCATCTTTGTTTTTTTGCTTTTCCTTCCCTACCGTCGAGTTTCCATCTGTGTTCATGCTTTTCTTTTGTGTTTGGCCGAATCAAAGGTAGTTGAAGTGCTCTGCTTTCGATTCCCTCTCTTCTAGTCTTTGCTTCCACTTTCCTCTTCCTCTCTTCGTGCATGACTGTCATGTGTGCACGTTTCTGCAGTGTGCTGCTTGTTTTACTCTGCTCTAGCTTTCCATCTTGAGTTTTACTTTCGTGTGTAGCTGGCTTTGCTTTGCTCTTAGCTGAAATCCTTGATCTAGGGCGGTTCTCTCTCCCTCTCCCTCTCGTTTCCCTCTTCTCTTTGTCTACGCTGATCGAAGTCACATCTTCTCTGCTTTCCTCGGTCAGGCTAAATACAGAGATAAAAGGGGGTGAAACGCTGCAGAGTGCAGCGTTTTACTCCCCTTATATTCTTTTTATTTATTTATTATTATTATTATTTTAATTTTAAGATTGAGAAAAGAAAAAGAATTTAATTTTGAATTAAACAAGAACCCCTGTTCTTCTTTTTAAGTTAACTCTCACAAATTTAATTAAATTAAAATTTTTTTAAAAGGAGTATAATCCTAAAAAAGGGGCAAATTTCATTTTTGCCTTTATATATATATATATATATAGTTATTTTAGTAAACTAGAAGAGATAAAATCCTAGTTATAAGATTAAGTTCTATTAAAATTTTTTTTGAAAATATAATCTTCAGAAAGATTTTATTTTTGTGTTTTTAAATACATATATATATATATATATATATTGAGTTAAATTTATTATTATTTTTATACGCTCGGACAGAATACATTGTTCACAGTTACTCCTCTTTACTTGTTTCTTATGTAAGTATATGAAATAGAGTGATTTTGAATTCTTACATAAGTGACAAGTAAATATTGAACATGTATTTTGGTCGGCCATATAATATCTAGATGCAAAACTATTGTATAACAAACACAATGACATGATGATGAATTTTTTTTGGTTTTAGTAATGTAATGCAAATGGAAACGACCAAATGAAATATAGAAAGATGCTGTAAACAATTGACCATAATCCAAATAAAATATATGTTGGCTAGATGCCTATCTCTATTTGCTTTTCTAAGTGAGAATTTCACGAGATGACATTCTTATAAATGAAGAAAGAAACATATGTTTTGTCATCTACTCGAGAAAACCTCTCCCCACAGGGCTTTAAGCGGTAAGGAAGTGCCTACCATGTAAGACATTCGGTGAGTGCCTGTCTTTTCAAGGCTTTGAACAGTAAAGAAGTGCCTACCCTACCCAAGTAGGGCTTTTGGTGGGGTGCCTATCTTTACAGGGCTTTAAACGGTAAAGAAGTACCTACCCAAGTAGGGCTTTTGATGGGTGTTTATCTTTACAAGACTTCAAACGGTAATAAAGTGCCTACTTAAATAGGACTTTAGTGAGTCCTAGTCTTTACAGGGCTTTGCATAGTAAGGAAGTGC